AAATTCAACAAAGTATACAATTGAGACCTTCACCGCATCCCAATCATCCTCAAAACGAAGCACTTCATACTTCTTCTCAAACTCAGCCAAGGTTAGGTCTACATTATCATCGAAGTACAAGGCCCTAAGCCTACGAGGATAGGTGTCCTTCATAACGGTGGCTGTCGAATATTTTAGGCTGCTAATTAAATCAAATTCTCTCCGTCCAAAGGACACCTTACTACCAAACAAGTTAAAACTCATGGTGTCCTTATGACTCTCATTTACCTCCCAAAGCAACAGACAATGAATTAGTAGCCCGTTAAAAACAAGATCCACATCAAGCAAATGCCCAACTGCAGTCGTTTCTTCTTAATAGCCTCGGATGTCTTCGCTAGGTGCGATAGACAGGTCAGTTGGGACGAGACATACAGCGCGAGAGGGACCTTCGGTACCAAATCCATTTCCTATAAGTAAATACACACAAACATTTACACTCAGATTCAAACCATCAAGTTTACACTAAACTAAACCATATATGGTCAGAAATGAACACTGTTTAATAACTCACTAAATAATTCGGGCAAAATATATATTACTGTTAACAAAGTTTACATTCTGTAATTTTCCTCGGGCACAACCTCGGGTAAGATCGGGCTCGAGAAATTTCACAGAATATACATTACACAAAAATATGTAAAGTCGTTCAACGTTTGTAAGCTTCTGTCATTTTTCTCAGGTTGACCTCGGGCGAGGTTATGCCCGATGTATTCAGCATAGTCTGAACCTCGAGGAACCTCGAGGTTCAGCCTCAAGCATCTGACGAATACCTCGTCCTCAACCTCGCCCGAGATCGACCCGAGAAAAATGGCAGAGCTCTCCTCCTTCTTCAACCTCCCAACACACTTCGAACGGTTCCCTCCCACATACCTCAAAACTCAATTTCAGCTCAAAAATCAATTTCGGCAGAACAACAATGAAGGAAATCACAGCAGAACAACCTCCCAATAATAGAACGAACAAAATAAAGTAAAATCGGACAGCGAATCACTCATTCGTGTACATGGTCAACAAGATACAGTGCTGGTGTTTAGGAATCAACGGAAAAAAACCCATTCAAGATGAAAAAACGTAGCCCTAACCCCACGGAACAGTGGAAAAATTGAACTTACCTCGAGCGATTTCGAACGGAGACGGAGCGGGAGAAGACGACTCACGTGAATGGAGAAGGAGAAGACGACTCACGCAAACGGAAAAGGAAAAGACGAACGGAGAAGGAGAAGACGAACGACGACTGAAAACGAAGAGAAATGGGGAAAGTTAGAACGGTTCAATTTTTTGAACGAAGGGTACTATAGTAATTTCGCTACCTATAAAAATTAATTTAATATTAAGTGGGTCATTAGGACACAATAAAAGAAAGAGGGTTATTTGAGCATTTCAAAAGTTTTTGAAAGTCATTTGAGTCAATATCCCAATTAAACTCTACCTTTTATCTCCGTAAAGAAAGCAAAAGGACTGCATTTCTTAGCGAAATAAATACTACATTTCTTTGTCTTTGTTTACCTAATGAGTACTGAGTGGTTTTTTTTAATTTATAAATTTAATATTTTATTTATCTATGCAGATCAATATTTGATGAATTTTATCAACTGTTTTACATTGATTTATTTTATCCATTTTACTTTTGTGTAAACATCACATATAATTCT